CACCCAATGAAGTGATGGCGTGAAGAATAGCATCTAGGTTCTTTTCAGAACCACCTTGGTTGTTATCCAAGGGTTTAGTTTGTGATGAAACTGGGTCATTTCCAGAACCACTTTGATTATTATCTAAAGGTTTAGTCTGTGATGACACTGAACTACCTTCATCAATTGCTGGGATATATCCAGACTTGTAAGTTGAAACGCTGTCAGCTGACTTACTAGCAGAAATAATTTTTCTAATAGCAGTCACTGTTTTGCCAGGGGTGTCAGCAATGATTTTGCTTGGTGTGTTTACCATGTTTCTTAATTTTTTTGAGCATAAAAATTATTTATCAACTCAATTTTATTGTTTACAATTTGTCGAAATACTAACGTTGCATCGTTCCTCGCAACTAGCCATCTTCATCTGTCAGATATTGGTCTGTTTTGTGACCAGAAAGATCAAAAGTAACCCAACCGATAAAAGGAGTATCAAGTTTAACACAAGACCATGATAAATTAGCCAGTTGACCAGGTCTTGCCAATAATCTAATGCCAACGGAAAGTATGGCACAAGACAACATGTGAAGATAAGAGTCTTTAATAGAGATCCTATCAATGAATTGCTTGACATTGAGAGCAGAGATTCCACTTCTCTTACGTTTAACAATATCGGCTCGTGAATAAAACTTATTCAAACCTTGTTTGATTCTAGAGAATTGATTAGAATAATTTACGGACCATCCTTCCAAATTTGAATAGAAATCCAACGTAGGTTTCAAATTATTCAATCTGTAGAGCTTTTTGTGAACTGCAAGATAGCAAGCGAATAATTCCGGGGCTCTAAAATCTGATTTGTCTAAATTATGGAGTAGACAGAAATAAGAAAATTCTGAATAAGTTGAGGAATACTTTTTGACCGTGGATTCTGCAAGAGCAGTAGACAAAGCCTGACATCTCATTGAAAGTAGAGCATTCCATTCACTTTGACTGCCATGAACGAAAGATTGTCTGATAGTTTGTGCAGTTCGTTGTAATGCTCTGTTATAAGCCATTGGAGCGGAACACTTCTCTGTTCTAAAGATATCTTTAGCAAGATCGGGAACCAGTAAGCTGTTGGCCAATAAGGAACTACGAATGTTCCTATGGCCTTTGATCGGATCAAGTGAAATAGAGCTTGTGGGATTAGACCTATTGGAGGAACACAATAATTGATTGAATTTTGTTCCCAAAGTTCTTGAAACGCATCGTTTTCTAACCAAGAGTTGAATTGGATCGTTGTTGCTGACTCTGATGTTGCAAATCTGTCTATGGTGTGGTTTCCGAATTCTTTTTCTACCATACTTATCAATTCTGGTGATGATTTCCAATCGCTTAAACGGCTTAATTTGTCTGCGATTGAATTTTTCTCTGAGGGAATGTAAATTACTTTTGCAATTCTCCAGCCACATTCTATTAGAATTTTCCAAATTTTTCTTGCTATTTGAGCGAGGTGTTCGAAAGTTCCATATCCTTTTCTTATGTATGAGAGGGCAGTTGAATTGTCCCCCCTTATCTCGAAATAGGCTCCTCTTGGGAAGAGCTTTTGTGATTTTGCTTCTATGAAGAATTGAAGAATTGCCATCATTTCTTTCGAATTGATATGATCGTTGGTGTGAAATCTTCCTATGATAACAGTGTTTGAGGAGTGGACGCCATATCCTTGAGGAGAAGCATCTGAATTGACTATAATTGGGAAAGGTTGATTTAGATCTAGGAGAGAACCTTTTGAGTTTGAAATGATGGACTTTAATCTCATTAGGTCCTTCATGGGGCCTCTGTTGATGAGCATAAAACCTGACCATCCTACTACTGAAACCCTTTGATTCATTTGCTTTCGTAATCTGTCTAACAGAGGCATTATGTATTGTTCTGCTAATGAGGCGAATTCCAGTTTTCCTATAAATTGAGCTACCAGTTTGATTCGAACGAATTTTCGAAATTTTCCAGCTTGGAGAAAATCTTGAATAAAGTTGAGTGCAACTTCTTTCTTTTCGTGAGGAATCAGCATTGTTCCTTTTTCCAAATTGAAATCTATCCCTAAAAAGCATACTTGTTGTGAGGGGATTAGTTGGGATTTTTCTAACTGAACCAGCCAACCCAAGAATTCTAAATCTTTTAACACTTGTTCTGTTGCTGTCTTTGTTTCTACTATATTGGATCCCAAAATTAAAATGTCGTCGATGTATATGAATACGATCAGCCCTTTCTCTCTCCATTTCTTCATTAATTCTTTCATGATTTTTGTGAAGTACCTTGGTGCCGAGTTTAAGCCAAATGGAAGACATTGGAACTTGTATTTCTTTCCTTGAAATGAGAAGCCTAATAGCTTCTGATCTTCTTCTTTGATTGGAATTTGAAAATAACCTTTCTTTAAATCTATTTTGGTTGCCCAAAAATCTTGCCGAATGAACTTTGAAACTTTTTGCAAAGTTTCCATTTTTGAATGTTTCGAATCTATTCCTCCATTTACTTTTCGTAA